TCCATTTCTCCATTTCTATGCTAAGTTCATAAGAAAATTTCATATAAGATAATCATTAGATGAGCTTGCATTTCAATTCTTGAGTTTCATCAACCTTGGTTTCACACTTTCGAGTTTTCCCGCAGCCTAAAAGAAGATCTTTCCTTTCAGATTTATACTCTCTCGAGTTCAGCCTCCCCTTTCTCTCGGGCGTTTCTTCTTCGTCCCTCATTTCTCGTCCAAGACGACTCCTTTTGTAGCACCCGGAAAGGAGGAGGAGGAAAAAAAAAAAAAAAAAAAAGGGTGCCACGTCAGCAGCCACGTCAGCAGGCCCGGTCAGCAGTCCCGGCCAACCAGGGCCTGCCACGTGGCAAGATCGCGTCACTCCGAAAGGAGCCACGTTGGCGATCCGCGTGGGTGCGATCCGACGGCCCAGATTCAAACGCACGGACGGCCCAGATTCAATCAAAAACGAACGGCCCAGATTAAAACGAAATGAACGGCTGTGATCAAAAGGCAAGGGGTTATAAATAGAACCCCCACACCAGACCAAAAACCCTAGCCGCCAGCCGCTCGCCGGAGAAGACGAACCAGAGGCCGACCGCCGCCACCCGCCGCCACTCGCCGCCGCACCGGGGAAATTTTCGACCGCCGATCGAGGTAAATTTCATACCCCCGACTCATTTTTCCCCGTTGATTCCTCCTATGGCCAAATCGAGGCTGAAATCCCGGCCAAACGGCCGGAATACGCGGCCGAAGCCCAGCGGCGCCGCCGCGCCCCCTCTCGATTTTTGCCTCCGACGAGGCCCTTCCCGGCCTCCGTTCGATGCAATTTTTATATCACCGTGATCACCATTCTTTTCTCTACAGGTTGACCGGAGCCGAATCACCAAAACACGAACCTCGCCGGAGAGCCGCTGCACCCGAGAGCGCCGCCGCCGGTAAGCTCCGTTTTTCCGTGATTTTTTGGCCCCCTGAGGGCCCTAGGGTTGTTTTCTGACAAGGACCAATGCGAGAGTGGCCGAATTCGGCCGAAAACAGTCAACCCGAGGTGACTCGCCGCCGCCAGCGGCGGCGCCGTCGCCGGAGCACGGCGGAGCCGCCGTGCCGGAGTTGCGATTTGGGCCGAAAGAGGCCCTGGGCCTAATTTGGATTTTTTTGGAACACGTGCAGGTACTGTTAGTGTGTTTCAGTTCCCCGGAAAAAATTCAGGGAAAATTAGGGACAGCCTGCAGGCGCACTGTGAATCGTATTCGGATCCCGAAAACAAGTAAGGACCCCTCACCCTATTCCTATCACGGTATTAAAGTTCAAAATGATAAAACGGTATTTCTTGAATTAACGCATGTGTGAAATTGCTTAAGGTTGCTAATGGAGCCCGAGTCTAGTGTGATTGATGATTTACTGTTATTTGGCCTGTTTACAGCTTTAAATGCAAAATGAGGTTTGATGTGTTCATTTTACAGATTTGTGTGCATGTACTACGTTTTTATTAATTATGGGTTGAATGACTGAAAAACTGATACTGTATGTTGTCTGTTTGGTATGAATTACGATTTGCTTGTTTAAATGTGAATTGATGATGCTGATTGAGGAAAAGGAAAATGAAAGATTGTGTAGACTGATAATTGTATTATGGGGGTCAGCCTGACTAGAT